ATACTATTAGTGGAAATTTAAGTAGGCTTCTTATCTAAAAGAATTAAGTTCACTTCCACCTACAACATGGGATTAGTTTTGGTTAAAAACTAATCAAGATAAAATATTTATTTGAAAGCTCAACTTTGACGGTAAATATTTTGGACAAATCTGGTATTTTAAGAATGTCACGTTATTCAATGCATATATAACTATTGGAAGTTATTAAAACATACCAGCACTTAATATTACAATCAGACATCTGGAACATATTTCACTGTCAATTACAAACAATTTTATTATCAGCATAAAGTTCAGCTATTTCATGCGCAAGGCATATCCCATCTGCTCTAGGGAATAGCTAAAGCAGAAGTATAAACAGTTCATTTTAATTCTTAAAATTTGAAATTGTATTTATAATAGTATTTCTACCACCAGCAGTATATTACTTAAAAAATAATATGGCTTTCCTTAAGTCTGTTTGAGGTTGTAATATAACAGGCTTGAAACAATTGCCTATTGCTTTATAGTTATGCCTCGTGTTCTAAAATCTTTCACTGAAGTATAGGAGACAGCTGAATTTAATCCTAGCTTTTTAGAATATTAGTATGAAACTGAAAACTAATACACTAACAATTTATAAATTAAAAAAGAGAGAAAAAGTCAATCTATTCAAAGTTTATTGAATAGCATTAAACAGTTGTCTAATATGAACAATAATCTAAATAGTGCATACCTTAAGAGGAGGACAGGTATTGTAATTTTAATTTTCTTTATTTCAAATGTATGATTTTGCTATAATGAAAGGGATAAAATGCATACTTAGGGAATAATACTTTATCGTCGCAGTATTTTTTCTTTATTTGGGTCAAAAACAGGATTTAGTGTTCATAATAATATCAGAATACCTATTCAAAAGTGGTATTTTAATTTTAATATTTTTATTGTAAGTTTGTTTAAATTTTGCTTTGTTTTTCAGGTATATTTGATTTATTTTATTTAGCCTAATTAATTTAGTTGAATGTAGTAACATTTTTCTGATTTCTGTTTAGTGGTAGCACACACACCCTAGAACTGAAAAGTGGCCGGAGGAAAGTGTTTTGGGTTTGGGGAACTTGTTGTTTATTAACCTTGTTTTGAACCTTTTTAGTGCATCTGTACCAGGTAGAGGATAAATTTGTTTTTAATATAACCCATAATCAAGAACATGAGAGAAAAGCAGACATAAATTAATATGGAATGCTGTGTGGTGGTGAGAGAAGGCGGAATTATGAAAATACCATTTACCCAAAACATACTTTGCCAGAATTTCTATCTTGGTTATGTAGTTTAGCCATAAATACTGAGGATAATTCTCTTAACTCTGTCCTGAGAAAAAACATGTTAATACTCCTGTTTTATTCTTTGAAATTTGCTTCTATCTGATAAAATTGGCTGGCTCAATTTTTTTTCTGTCAAATTATATGGTTATTTTTTTATGTATTACCACATCAGCATTATATTGAAAATGTTTTTAATGGTTGATTATATTTTGTCAAAAAACACTAGTATAGACTCAAGTTTGCTGTTTAAGTTTTAAATACAATTTATTTTCTAAATTCTTTTTTTAAAACATGATTTTGGATTAGAAATGATTTTTGTTAACTGTGTGTTGAAGATGAAATTGAGCTTCAACTAGATTTTGTGCCAACAGATGGGAAAAGTTCAACTAGGAAATTCATATAAGACTTTTAAAAAGTATTTGATAGGTTCTCAATAGATATTTCCTGTTAAAGTAATGTGAAAACTGATTTTCCTTTACTCCAAGAGAATTTTCTGACCCAAGCATATATCTAATGCTAAAGCTTTGATTCTGACATTCATTGTAGATCAGCCAACTATAAGATTGTCTGATGAAAAATGTAAATCAGCAAATAGTGCCTTTATTCATATTTTGAGATGAGTTCTCTATTTTGTACTATACCTGTTCTTTGGAGGTCAAATTAGCAGCTAATTTAACAGTGATATAATTCAAGGTTTATGCAGTTGCCCAGCAGAGTTTCTAGTAAGAAAGCAAGACGCCCACCCACATTACTTTGGGAGATTATTCTACATTTTGTTTTTAATTTAAGGATAAAAAAACTAAGTTTTATCTTTTCCATACATCATAACTAAAATGTAATTGCTACCCTTGTAAGTTCAAATATGGCGTTTTTCTTAGTTTTGAACGTGTTGTGTTCTTCATATTTAAACATCATTCGTATTAAAGCCCATTTGAGAACTCTTTTAGAATTAGCAGTCCCTTTTATATGGGAATATACTGCATATTTTGTATTGTTAATTTAATTTCATAAAATCTGAAATAATATATAATCTATTGAAAAATTTATGATTACATAATTTTTGCTTTAGGTTCTGTGTTAGTGTGCTTGAAGGTATAATTTTATATTCATTAGACAAAAATAGTAAATTCAAGTTTCATTGTTAAAAATAATTTTAAGTGTGTACCACCCCTATAACCATAGTTATTTTTATTAAGCATAAATTAACTTTCATTATCTATAACATAAAGAGAAAATAATTATTTTCCTATGGAAACAGTGAGTGATAGGCAGCAATGTAAACATTCTCTAAAGAGTTATAGGGAGTCACAAAGCAAAGAAAATTTTAAATAATAAAAGCTTAAAAAAAATCTTTTGGTATAATGTATCTTAGGATAAATTAGAAATGGAATTGTTTCTGCCTACCACTCATTTATGTAACTATGTAAAACCATATCAGTTGAAAAAAATGTGCTAGTTGTTATGCCTATAAATTCCATTGATATCTGTCTTTAAAGACCAACTTCCCGAGTCGGACTTTTCATCTATGGCTTTGGATCCCAATCATTTCACATCCAGTTCAATTCTGTAGGATGTTTTATGTTTTGTCGGGGTAAAGTCATTTTAAGATACAACACGGTAACTTGCATCTAGTAGAATATTATGCTGGCTATCTAAAGAAGTAGATTTGAATCTTCATTTTGCCATTACTTGTCTAGTTGACCTTAGACAATGACTGTTGGTGGCCTTCCTATTGTTTTTCACATACTAAGGAACTTAAGCAAGCTACAACTCCAACGTGTCATTTGGTTTTAAAATTCTGAATCTTTATACACTCTATTAAAATTGAAAACCAAAAGTACATGTTAATGTGAAAAATTAATTTTTATCTATATTTTATTCTCACCTCATTGTTTCACTTAGTATGGGAATACAATCAAGGAAACAAAGGATCAATTAGTAACTGCTACTCAAATTGAGCTGATAGCTAATGACAATACAAAAGAGAAAATAAGCCATATTGGTAAGAAAATGATATTAAACTGGTTGTAAAATAGCAGCCTCTGGTGGAAATATGCTCTTCTAGAGAATAGCTTGCTTATTTTCCTGGCTTTTACTAATTCGAAGTGCTTAGTTAGTTCGAGATGATTGTCTTTAGATGCCATTCCAAACTGCAGTTCTCTGTTTGGCTTTCCAGCACTGAAAAGTTGGTGCAGCCAGAATGTCAGTATTTTACAAACGTCTGAATAAATCTGAGAATAGTTTATTTTCAAGCTTAGTTGTTTTGTTTTGTTCTGTTTTGTTTTGTTTTTCAGTAATGTCCAATGATTATTCATTTAGCTTTACCATGAAGACTGGAATCCAAAAGTTAGGTTCCCAAGGAGTATTTTTGAAGAGTTTCAAGTGGTGAAATCTAAATAGAAAGGGCCAATAAAATAAATATTTTCAACTACTTCAATTTAAATTTAAAGTAGAAAAAATACTGTGGTCAGCAGATCAGCTTTAAATGTATATAGTTTGGTTAAATGTTTGGGAAATGCTAATTTGGAGAGGTATAGAGGCATACCTAGAAACAAAAGTCAAAACACTTTGTACTAAAGGTAAACTTGGGGTGGGAAAATCTTCAACAGGATATTAAATAGTAAAAAATTTAAATGGAAATAGTGAATTTTTCCCATTTAAGGCACTTAAAATTATAGAAAATAGTCTTTTACTGTAGAACTGGTGTGCCTGTATTTTAATGTGGCCAAAGGACTGAAGACCGATCAGGTTTTTAGAATTTAGGAGTGTAGTCACGTAGAGGCATCTTCTATATATTTTTTTAAACCAGTAATCTACATTTTCTTCCAGAAATGGAGAAATAATAAAATGTGCCGTGCATATCTTTTGAAATAGAAAACAAAGTTCTAGAAGAATGGAAAAGTTCTCTTGCACAAACTTGTAAAATTTTAATTTAAAAGTTACCTCATTTTTCCATAAGGTGCTTTGCTCAAGTTTGTGGGATGTTGCGCCGTCCCATTAAAAACCCTCTTCACCCAAACACTGTGTTTGAAATATGCAAAATTCACAGCTAAGGGGTAGCATTCCTAGGAGGTTTTGTTTTGTTTTCTTGTTTACCACCAGCAGGTCTAACTTGGTGTAGCAGACCCCCATGTCATCTTCATTAAATTAAAGCACAAGGGCAAGTGCTCAGCCAATATTTAATTAGTTTAATTAATGTCAAATAAGGGAAAGGAAACCCCTAGTAATTTGATTGATTTATATTATACTGTGACTATATTTCCATCAGTATTGGTAAGATAGCAAATAACTATCAGGTGATCCTTGGTTATGTACAATTTATTTGCATATTTTGGTCCTATTCTGAAGAGATTATAATCATTTAATCCTCTTCTTTTTCCCCTCAGGAAATTCAGGGACTCTGCAGCCCCTATTTTGTTCTCTTGGAGTAAACTGTTCAGTGTAGTTATGAACACTTTCAATTCTGATTATAAAGTTTAGCTGCTATTTTATTAGGAGTGTGAAATAAAATGATGGTTATAATTTTTTCCAATTATGTGATGGTTATAAATTTTACCCTATTTAACTATTACACAGAGCATGGTTTAAAAAAACAAAAACTAAAAGCTGTTACAGCCTTGCTCTTGCATTTATTCTAATCATAATATAATGAATATAATCACATGTTGCCATCTT